CGCCCTGCGGTTTTGAAGAGTCAGGGACCAGTTCTATAGGACCCTGGACTCCCGTAAGAGTCAATGTAAAAATTCGAGAGCAGGCACTAGTGCTGCATTCTCGCGTAGGATCCTCGCAACTCACTGCTGTTATCAGTTGTTGGACTTCATTAAAATCCGTAGGATCGCGTATAACTGCAAAAAATCGAATTTTTCACCGTAATGGTAAATGCGGCGGGCCCTTCCTTGCCGAAAGGCGTCGAAAAACGCCAAAAATATACTTATTTTTCAAGAATTCAGCCGCCTTATTTGTTATTTTTCAATCTCCAGCTTAACCTCACTTTTGGAGCGGGCGATGGATGAGTCGAGGTTCGGGGGGAAGGATCCTCTGAGTTGACTAGGATCCTACGCGAGAATGCGCTGCAATCACCCGCTCACAACAGAACGGCGTCCTATAGAACTCGTCCCCAACGAACTACACCTCTAGAATGGCCGACCAGTGTTAGAGACCTGGAACGTTTTGAAGTTGATATAGGTTAGGTTTACTTGGGCTCACACAGCAGGCTGCCATCTAAACCCATGTCAGACGCTGCCCACATTTTGCCGAATATTGTTGAATAAAGTGATAGCAATGAAAAGATTGCATAATAATCGCACCTCCAAAGGTTTTCTTAACTCAAAAAATAGGAACTTTGAAAGCAAACCTCGAAAAAAAATGAAAGTTTACATAGGTTTTCAAAATGGAAATTTTCACATGTAATCCTTATGGGCAAGACGCAGCAGAAATGGAGATTGAGGTTAGCTATACTTGGGCTCCCACCCCCCTCCTGCCTTCAAAAACCGGCCCTTGCGCGTTACGCAGGTTTGCTATCTCGCGGCCATTCTAGAGGTGTAGTTCGTTGCTCGTCCCTGGAAGAGTTTAGTGTGAAAAGTTTCCATAGAGTACATAGAGTCGTAATGTAAATGGGAGAGCTGGCGCCATGTTCTGCTCGACGAATTCCGAGCCCGGTGTGCGCCGAGTTCGGGTCGCTTTTTCGATACATTTTCGATCCAAAATGGCGGTGTGGAATACATGGTAATTCCTATCTCCGTTGTTGTTGTTGTTGTTGTCATCGGATGAACGGGTACCTGTGTACAGAGATGGAAAATTTCATGAAATTTATTCGAGTGAAATTTCACGCGTGAAATTTCATGAAATTTCACGAAATTTCATGAAATTTATTGAAACTTTTGAGGATACATTCAAGAGGCCAAGAAACGCCTAGAAACGGTGATTCTCGATATTGAGATTTTTCAGCCCCCCCTGACCTAACCTAACCTCACCACCCACTCTTCCAGCAGCTCAGTTTTTTATCACGAAGATTTCGGTGTCATGTCAGATGTCACTTATGTAAGTCATGGGTCCTTAATTTTCGTAAGTAATGCATCATTGACACTTGAGTGCCTCCGCTCCACCACAAGAACAATTTCCTCCACGCATCGGCATGAAAATACTAGTTTTTTTATGGGGGGGGGGGGACTTTTATTTGAGAAACGTTGGAGAAATTGATGCTAAAAATTGTAATGCTAAAAAACGGCACTTTTAGTGGTATATTTCTGAACCAACTTAATGTCCTACATATTTAACAATTATACTATAAAGATTATTCTCAGCAGTGCCAAACTGCCAACATATATATTTTAGAGTCGGAAATCTCAGTTTCAAAAATGGATTGTTTTCAATCATCTTGAATTTTATCAAGTAATTCCAAACGTAAGTAACTTTAATTTTATTTGTAAAAACATTGCTAAACAAACATTGCTAAACATTTGCTAAAAAACACGCACACACCTATATCTTTACCTGTGGGAGTGGGTCCCTTTTTTATACCAAAATGAAGCCGAGCACGGCTTTTCGGCTTTTTCGCCATTATTCACATCTCTGAAAACATAAAAGTACTAAAGTAAAACGTTTCTAAAAGGGTGTGATGTTCTTATAATCTTGTCCACGGCCACGCGATTTGCTGGGTACTTGTCTGTTTACATTTGGTTTGGAGGTTAGGTTAGGGCTAACTTTCTCTAAAACCCCCCTTGTGCCCCCTCCTTTGGGTGTAGCATCTCATTAGTGGGCCATATTCTGCTGCATCAGCAGGAGGATCATCTGAACCGTTTCCGAGGCTTAGTAACAATATTTCTTTGAAAAATCAACTAATTTCAATTTTTTTGAAATTTATTCGGGCCTTGGGAAATTTCATGAAATTTCAAAACGTGAAATTTCACTTTCCATCTCTGCCTGTGTATCGCAAACAATCGATTATGTATCGAAAAAGTGACCCGGCGTCACACAGGAGTCTCGGAATTCGGGACATGGAAAATGCTTAAAAGTGGCGCCAGCTCTCCCAATTACATTACGACTCTATGTACTCTATGAAAGTTTCCCATTTTCATTTCAATCTCCGTCAGTCTTCGGGTACATAAACTGGTAATAATGTGAAGTGTTTTTTCTAACCGTTTTACTCAGCAGCAACTGCTGTTGAGATAGCCAAAGGATGTGTGTGAGTGTGCAGTGTGCAGTGTGCAGTGTAGAGTCCCTTTATACCCAGAGTTAAGACAACTCGATTATCAGCTGACTGGTAGAGTCCCTTTATACCCAGAGTTAAGACAACTCGATTATCAGCTGACTGGCAGCCGGCCTTGGCTGGCCATGGAGGCCGAAACGAGTGCACCAAAACGAACGATATTGAGGGATAAGGATCAGGAATCCTGCGATGTCTGTCACACAAAAACAACAACATCAACAAATTGATCAATTAAAAAGAAAATGAGATTGGTTTGTGAATAATTTCTTAATCTATTTTCATTTTGGACCGATGGAAATAACAATTTACTCTTGATAAACCACAATTAGGTGATATTTTCATTATTCTTGTTCACATTCGAGGTACCGCCATCTTGGTGCACTCGTTTCGGCCTCCATAAGCGAGAACCAATCAGAATTGGATTTTTTTTTAGGCCACTTTCAGCCGAACCAAAAGTGAGTTGTCTTAACTCTGGGTATAAAGGGACTCTACTGACTGGCAGCCGGCCTTGGCTGGCCATGGAAGCCGAAACGAGTGCACCCAAACGAACGATATTGAGGGATAAGGATCAGGAATCCTGCGATGTCTGTCACACAAAAACAACAACATCAACAAAGTAATTCATTAAAAAGAAAATGAGGTTGGTTTGTGAATAATATCTTAATCTATTTTCATTTTGGACCTATGGAAATAACAATTTACTCTTGATAAACCACAATTAGGTAATATTTTCATTATTCTTGTTCACATTCGAGGTACCGCCATCTTGGTGCACTCGTTTCGGCCTCCATGAGCGAGAACCAATCAGAATTGGATTTTTTTTTAGGCCACTTTCAGCCCAACCAAAAGTGAGTTGTCTTAACTCTGGGTATAAAGGGACTCTAGTGCAGTGTGCAGTGTGCAGTGTGCAGCAGGAATCAGGATTGTACTTTTAGCCGAAGGCCAAGGCGCAAGTGAAATCTTTTGATTGAGAAATAGTGTTGTACTGATAAAAATCAACTGAGTGTCACAAAATCAAAGATACTTGACTTCAAGCATTACCTTTAATTTGATCATTAGCAAGTCTCTTTGATTCTGCGTCAGAAGTTGACTGAATCATCTTTGCTCGTGTTTTGATAAGATACTTCAAATCAAAGTCTTTCGCATTGACCTCTGCAGAAGGTATGTATCTATACTATTTCATTAGTTTGCGAAAGTAAAATGTATTAAAGTATCTAAACATATAAATAAATCATAGATAAACAAAGAACATTGCATGGAATAACATACTGTAGAGGTACGATCGTGGACCGCTGTGGCGTTAGTTCACCGCACCCTCCGCCAGGTTCGCTGCAAGCGCGCGGTAACGGTTTTTAACACAGGTTAGCATAGGGAGTTGGGAGTCCTTATTTATTCTCTTGGTCCATGCCAAAGACATAAAGACGGAGCGCTCGTAGCACGGGGAAAGAGTGAAGCTAGGTTCGACGCTGCGCGCTTGTCAGAGTTAAGAAATTTCATGAAAGATTATAAAAAGAAATTTCATAATGAAATTTCATGAAATTTCATGAAATTTCGTGAAATTTCGTTTAACACGCAGAATTCAGGATTAAACCCTTGAAACTTATGAATCTCCTTAAGTTCATTTGTATGCACGTGGTAAACTGTGAAAGGGAACTTTAGAAATGCCCAGAAAGTTGAGTAAAACAGCAAAAACATAATTTTGAATTTTTTATCTTAAATTTTGGTTGAACACACAGCNAGCTACTTACCTATCAGCAATGCACAAAACCATCATTGCCAGGAGCATCATTTCATCAGATAAATTAGTTGTGTAACAGTAGCTGGTTAAGTAATGGATCATTAAGGTGATTCGTCAAGCTCAAGTGGCGTGGTCGGACTGGCATGCGATATCTCATTGATTAGGTCAAAAGTCTCGGCAGATTTGGAATTTTTAGCCAAAAAAAGGATGAAAACCCCTGCACATTAGCCTAATGAATCATGCTAAACCTAAAAATTGGCAAAATTCAGAGAATGAAGGCAGAATAGTGTTCGGAAAAAAAACCTCGCATTCAATTCAGCTACCGATTACTGTGTCAAATGCAATGTTTTTTTCCAAACTCTATCCTGCTTTCATTTCTCTGAATTTTGTCGATTTTTGGGTTTAGAATGATTCTTCAGGCTAACGTGCAGAGGCTTACGTCCGTTTTTGTGCTAAAAATTCCAAATCTGCCGAGATTTTTAACCTGATCGATGCAATATAACACATGCCAGTTCTAGGACGTCACTTGAGCTTGACGAATCATCTTAAGGTTAAAAAACCCATTTGGGAGTGTATTCATCCACTGACAATAGCGTAAGGTTTTTCAGGAACCAAGTTTGAGAAAAATTAATAACATGGTAATCAAATTTAGGTAACACATACCTTTAGGGCTTCTCCTCGTCGCAAGAGATACTGGCCCAAAAACGAACTACATCACTTCACATTTTAGGATAACCAACTTAACCACCAAGACAACAGATGAAAAAAACATAACAGCAACTTGAAATTAGAAATTATCAAAATCATACAACAAAAGAAAAGTTTAGCGTTAATAATTAAACTGTTCGTTCGTCATTTTCAAAAATCCTCATGCTCATTCTCCCAGCAGTCCAGCACGCACGAGGGAGGACAAAGTCAGCAGATTTAGGTTAGGTTCTCAATGTAAACATTACTTTCTGGGTGTGTTCTTCTTCTTCGACCGAGATACGCTGGGAGTGAGCCTTCTGTTGGTGAAGCCTATATATTCTGTGGCCGTGCCGCCGGCTGTAGAAGTGTCAACTCAACATCAACTGTACTTTAAAGTGAGGGAAGTCTGTAGTTTGGTAAAGTGCAAGTACCTATGATGTGAAGACTCTAGTTGCCAAGAGGAATCAGAATAGGTACTTACTTTTGAATGTTTAGACGAATATTAAGTGTTTAAGAGTAATGGAGTGGAGTGTGTGAATTCTCTCAGGCTCGTTACACTTAGCAGTGACTCTGCCTCTAGTTATACCTAGGTAGGTTATTGGGTATTCTCACTCTCCAAGCATTTTAAGAAATGCTTTTCTGTGTGTTTTCCCTTCATTTTTCTTTATTTCTGATCCTGCTGATATGTAATATTCACTTTTGAACACATGAATGTGTTACCCGGACAATACCCTTAGAGGCCGAGGGCCCTCACGAAAAGACACATAAGCACATATATGTCGAGTGTTCGCAGATGTACTACGAAAATGCAGTATATCTATGGTATTCTGAATTCACTTTTTTCAGATTTTGGTTTTTGCCATCTCCTCTCTCTCCCAGGTATACGATGCAATATACTGTAAAAACACGTGATACGCACAAAGTATAAATTACGGAAACACGGTAAAAGCGTAAGTAATCTGTGTAATCCGATTCTGCGATAGTTAGAAGGATGTGCTTTTGTGCAGATAAGTGTTGCAAGTAAATTCTTTAGGAGGGAGATATGATTCTTCAAAAGATGAGGATTCGCGACTTGAAAAAGGCAAAAAAGTAACCTCAAACGAAACATGGTGAAAAATAAAATGATATGTTGATGCTACAGTAATCAGAAACCACTTATCTATGTTGTGGTGTTTCAGAATTGCCGCATTCTTTGTATTTTTCAAAGAGAAACCAGACAACTTTATAGTTTGAGGTTACCTGGGATTAACCTGTCTGCCTATTGAGCATAGACTTAGTCTGGCCCGGATTGTAAGACTTGTAATTGTAAGACTTCTATGATCAAAAATTGAAATTGAATCTGGACGTGCTAAAACCGCCAATGTCCATTTTTCCAGTCCTAAGTCTTCCTGCGTTCTTAATACTTTCCGTTTGGTTACAACCACGAAAGTGGCGTTACAACTCTTCTTCAGGTTTTCTCAAACTCAAAACGAGTCCTTTCATAACTTCTATGGTTACATCAACTCTCTAAAAGAATTATGAAATCTAAAAAATTTTAGGGCCATCCCCTGAGGGGATGAGAGGATTGGACACGAGATACTCAACGGATGCAGGTGTGATGACAAACTGAATTGCGAGATGCCAAGTCCGACATCCCCGGACAGCTAGGCGACAGTGCTGCCTCAGGTGGCAATGTATAGAAGTACTTAACCTAACATGTTCCTTTTTTTTTTTTTTTTTTTTTTTTGAAAAAAAATTGATTTTTAGAAAATTGTAAGTCAGTGGGAGTTGATTCTCCACATACCGTTGTATGGAGCCGAACTAATTAGCATGCTTTAAGGGAGTTACTGAACAATTTGACTTAGTAGAGGAAGAAGATTGAGATTAGATACAAACTGGAATTGGCTTGAATAATTATTTGCTGATGCGGCTGAAAGAAAAATTATATTTTGGTCTTCGTAGAATTAAATAGACATAGTGAGCACAGTTTGAGCATCAAAGACAAAATATATTAATGATTGTTGTTTGCGAGAACCTCCTATGGTGTGTGTCGGCCTCCTATGGTGTAGTGGTTGTAGCGCTTGCTCTATGATCGGGAGGTCCCGGGTTCGATTCCCGGCCAGGCGACCCGAGTTTGATGGTCTCAAGCAATGGTTGCCCGGGACTGGTTCAGTAGGGACGGAGGGGGGATGGGACTTAAAGCGTGGGATTAGCCCTTGTGGGCTATTTGAAGTAGTAAAAAAAAAAAAAAAAAAAAAAAAAAAAAAAAAAAAAAAAGAAAAAAGAACCAAACATCTATTTTACATTGAGAGGATTTTATGCATTTGTGATAATAATTTAAGGAAGATATGAGATGACATACCATTAAGACATCCTTTTAAGAAAGTATGGATCTAGACAGCAACAATAGCCTGATAACACAATTTTCAAGCCCAGTGTGGAGTTGATATAGTTTGACGGTAAGGTGTGGTTACCACTTATTAATGAGAAATGATTTTCTCCATTCAATTGAGACAAGTCACTTGCTACAAAGTTTTGCGTAGAAGGACCATAATTTTATGTTGAGATAAATGACATTCCGTAACAATAAAGTAACTGGAGCCGAACAGCGTTTAATAGCTTGCTACGACAGTTCGACAGTATCTAAAGCAGGATTGATGTTAACGGAGACAAGAGATACGACCAAATTTTGCGTTCCATAACAACAAAGTAACTGGAGCCGGACAGCGTTTAATAGCTTGCTACAACAGTTCTACAGTATCTAAAGTAGGATTGATGTTAACGGAGACAAGAGATACGACAAAATTTTACATTCCGTAACAATAAAGTAACTGGAGCCGGACAGCGTTTAATAGCTTGCTGCAACAGTTCTACAGTATCTGAAGTAGGATTGATGTTAACGGAGAGAAGAGATACGATACAATTTTCGATCAGAAATGTGTAGACTCACGACTAGAAGCGTTTGATCAGACGACAAGACAAGACAAGATCAGGGACGTTTAGCTGGACACACAGGACAGACATGATGCGACGGACAGACAGACAGAGAGACCAGACGGACAACTTGACCAAGACAGACAGTTTTGACCTGGACTGGACGTATTTGACGAAAGACAAAATTGGTGAGGACCATTTCGGACGCTATGCTTTACGTGACCCGTGGACTTGACTACAAAATATGACGGATTGACGATTTCAACTTCTTAGCACGAGGGACGGCTTGATCAGCTTGACATCGGCCTGACAGTTCGCGGAAATTTGAGGTCAGAAAGTTCGGGACGAAAACGGACGGTAAATTGTACATTTGCATACACACAATCACTTAGCACGGGTAGTGTTAGCGACTAATATTGACGGAGAGAAAAGAAAATTGACCCTACACCTGACACCATTTTAGGGTCATCCCCTGTGGGGATGAGAGGATTGGACACGAGATACTCAACGGATGCAGGTGTGATGACTAACTGTGTATTGCGAGATGCCAAGTCCGACATCCCCGGACAGCTAGGCGACAGTGCTGCCTCAGGTGGCAATGTATAGAAGTACTTAACCTAACAAAAAAGAAAAAAAAAAGAAAAGAAAAAACACCCCATGACTAGAAAAACGGACACTAGCGGTCTTCGCACGTCCCGATTCAATGGGGTTGTTGCATGCATTTTTTAAATTCAGTTTCTAGAAGTTGGTGGTGTGCTGATTGTTGAGATATTTTTTTAAAACTACTCTATGTTTTCTGATGATTGGAACATGGAGAAAAAGCGTCGAAAGTTGAGAAACGGTGTGAAACGGGGTTCCTTCCCGCGCTTCGAAATCACGTGACTCTGACGTCACAACGCACGGCCACGGGTTTTTCCTATCTGAACTGCGTGCTAATATGAGTTTTTTAAAAAATCAGGAAAAATCGAGTTTTTGGACTAAACTCATTTCTTTTATCGTGATGGATACCTGAAGATAAGATGAATCAATTACAGACTGGGTTTTTGGTTCTTCACAACGACTTCTGGGTCGGAAAGTGAGTTAAAAATCGATCCTTTCCCGTTTTCTTCACGGAGCGGAGGAGCCGTTCGGCGGTGAGCGGAGGGCGGTGCGCAGCAGCCAGCCCTGCTCGGGTTTCTCCGGCAGCGTCCGCTCATCATCGTAGCCAATCGGAGCTCGAGATGAACTTAACCTAACCTAACCTCCACTACTGCCGTGATCAACGAACTACACCTCTAGAATGGCCGCGTGATAGCAAACCTGCGTAACGCGCAAGGGCCGGTTTTTGAAGGCAGGAGGGGGGTGGGAGCCAAAGTATAGCTAACCTCAATCTCCATTTCTGCTGCGTCTTGCCCATAAGGATTACATGTGAAAATTTCCATTTTGAAAACCTATGTAAACTTTCATTTTTTTTTGAGGTTTGCTTTCAAAATTCCTATTTTTTGAGTTTAGAAAACCTTTGGAGGTGCGATTATTATGCAATCTTTTCATTGCTATCACTTTATTCAACAATATTCGGCAAAATGTGGGCAGCGTCTGACATGGGTTTAGATGGCAGCCTGCTGTGTGAGCCCAAGTAAACCTAACCCATATCAACTTCAAAACGTTCCGGGTCTCTAACACTGGTCGGCCATTCTAGAGGTGTAGTTCGTTGGCCGTGATAGCGAATCAAAGAGAATTGAGAAAACAAGAGCCCGGACGTGAAATGCGGAGCGAGTGGCACCCCCCACTTTTAGACGAGTCGTCTCTGATTGGCTGATTCGCCTGGAGCCCACTTTCTGGAGCCCTTATGGAAAATAACACGGGGTTCATTTTCCATCGAAAATATCTCGAAAACAAGGAAACATTTATCCGTCCACAATTCCAGAAATCGATTCTCCAGATTTTTCTGAAGAGATTGATGGGTAAAACATGACACTTTTTTCTCAAACACACGGAACAGCTCGACTTGGAAATTTTTTTTTTTCAACTTGAAATATGGCACCCTCCGATCGTTTACTGACACCGGGTCAGCTGATAATGAGCACCATCAGTTCTCGATCTGAAAAACAAATTTTCAATGGGCCTGTTGCAAGGTGCGGGTATTTGCAAATTGATGCCTGAATCTTATGGCAAATTTCACGAAAAGAACGATGGCGCTACTAAAAAACCTTAAAATGACCTCACAAACTTAGAAAAAGCTGTTTTTGGAACCGACCCATTCAAAACGGTCGTTTTTCACATAGAGTACATTGAGTCGTAATGTAAAAGAGAGAGCTGGCGCCACTTTTAAGCATTTTCCTTGTCCCGAATTCCGAGACTCCTGTGTGACGCCGGGTCACTTTTTCGATACATAATCGATTGTTTGCGATACACGGGTACCCGGCCATCTGATGACAATAACAACAACAAAGGAGATAAGAATTACCTCGTATTCCACACCGCCATTTTGGATCGAAAATGTATCGAAAAAGCGACCCGAACTCGGCGCACACCGGGCTCGGAATTCGTTGAGCAGAACATGGCGCCAGCTCTTCCACTTACATTACGACTCTATGTACATACTCTATGGTTTTTCAACCGCCATAAGCCCCACATACACGGTAAAAGTGGACCTTAATATTGGCTTAATGTGGGAGTCACCGATGCGTTGTTGAGC